CCCCCCCCCCCCCCCCCCCCGAATAGAATCCCGTCCTTGGTGCACAACTCGCCATCGGAGACGCTATGACAACGGTGCATGGGTTCAGTGACCCCGCGCACGCGCGTAGTTGACGGGTACCACGTCTCGAGGGGACCTTTCTGATGACCGAAAAGGTTTCCACGATGTGCGTATCCTTCTTCGGTGATCCTCGGTTGATCCTCACTATTGCCGTTGTGGGTATGCTGGGGAGGCTGAGAAACGTCGCCCTCGTCTGTGGGGTGTTCGACCTGTCTTCGTCAAATAAGGTCCAGAAAGTACATGAAATCCGTCTAAAAACGACCGAGCGCCCATGCATGGTCGTAGGGTGCGGTTTGTCAGGGCGGGGAACGATAACTACATCCAGACGACCAGAATCACGCGGCATACTGCCCCCGTGCCATGGCAGCCGCCGTTTGGAGCCCTGCAGTAACGCCAAGATTCAACCATGTGCGAGACTGTCAAGCAAAATGGATGCGATATTGCGATGGATGTGCTGATGGGAAGGTTATGCACGCCGTTGTGGCAAATAAGGCGTCTTCTCGAGTCACCAAGTGAAAAGGGCACCCTCTGGAAAACCTGACGAGGTCGTTCGCGCCGTCGAAGGACGGTGCGCGCTATTGCGTGCTAGTGGTGGAAGACTTAACAACATGAGGGTGCCGTTGTTTCTGAACGACAGTGCTGGAACGGTTGCCAACGCTCTCAGGGATTACGTGGCTATTGCCAAGCCACTTATCCCGATTCTTACGCAGATCGGGGGGATACGAACAGAGGGTGCCAGCAACGGTTTCGTAAGCGCGCTCGTGTGGATGCTGCTGGAGAAGAACGGCCGTTGACACGCCAAAGCTGAACGCGTGTGTCGAGATCAAACCGGCTGTGTTATCCGTGCGAGCCGTGGCCGCGTTCATTGATTTCCCCATCCATTTTGCAGACCTGGTCTTTCCGCCGAAGGCACTCAATTCCACAGGCGATTCGGCCAGAGGCGATGACGAGGATGAATGCTCGCCCAACATGTCTGCCGGCATGGACAAGAAAAGGTATTTTCCGACACCACAGGTCATTCAAGCCAGACCCGAAAGGGCATTTCCGCCGATAGCAATCCTCGCGTACCGACACGATCGTGCTCGAGTCAGTCAGGGCCAGTTATACCAGCAGCGCAACGCCGCGCGCCTTACGTTGGGGAGGACCCGACCTCTGGGGCGGTGGTGTAGTGGCGTCGGACCTCCTGCAGTGGGGGAGGCCATGATGACCGATCTCTATCGGTTAGGGGGGGTAAGGTAGTTTAGGGTGAACCTGAACCGTCGACACCGACCGAGAGGAGCGTAGGAACTGCTTCGTCGTAGGTATTGGCGGTGGGTGGCGATAGACGAGCCTTGCGTTCGCCCACCGGTTTATCGAAGATCATTCACGTTACATTCCAGAAAAAA